TGTAACTGTAAAGGGTATTAATGATGTTAAAATAACACCAATTAAGAGTTATGCTAGTTCACTTATTATTTTGTACAACAAGTTTTACAAAGTTACCTTATTAGATTCAAAATCAATTAAAAAGTTATTTTTACTCCATTCGTGTTGAAATGGTAAATACAGTATAATAAATCGATTATAATGTTTAAATGATTTCCTATTTTAAATGTAACAGAAACCGTAGAACAATTCTACTCTTCAATGCAGATATTATTATTATTATTATTATTATTGTTGTTATTGTTATATTATTATTATACATATACATCCAAATCCAACGTTTTGTTTTAAATAAATCAGCTCTAAATTGTAATATTACAATTGCCAATTTATTGTCTATAATAATATGTATCACATCAGTATTGTATTTAATGCAATGTAGGTACTTACAATTTAGGCCCTCATTATTTATTTTACAAGTTTGTTTTTGTTATAAATTATAATCATATTATATATGTAGACAGATATGAGATTTTCGTTGTTTATTTTTCGAACATCAAATACTGCACAGCAGGCATCGCTGGGTTTCATTGCTCATCAGCCGTCAGGGGGAGGAAGGTACAATAATAAAAAAAATGTTTCACCGTACTATATTTTGGTTTCCATAAAAAAAAAATGCAAATGCATGCACAATGTTAAATACGTTAGGGTTTTCATTCATTTACGATTTCATTCATATTCTCATTTGAAAAACGATACCTAGCAGTTAATTAATTTGATTTTTTAAATGAGGTAATGAGATTTTGAGAATTGTTTTATGTATGTAATCAGATTGTGTTATACCGTTTATCGACATCCTAACACGCGTCATATAATTACGTACGTATGTATAATGTCGGCACACAATATATACATGGTTTAAAGTTTAAGTCTAAAGTTAAATTTACATTTTAAAATATCGATAACATTTTTTTATTTGACTGTTGTTGTTTACTATGACAAGATGAATAAAACAAATACACCGCTTTCTTCCCCTCGCGTTAAATACCTCTTTCTAAACGCGAGAATAGTGCGCTTCTGCTGAACGTTTTAATCGAGACCATTGACGGTGGCTGCGGACAACCGTCTCCGCGCTCTCTATACCCCTAATTCGGCTATCTATATTATAATAACGTCTATTATTGGCCCGTCACGGACGAGTTGATCTAAAAGCAAGATGCTGACACCAACCCCTGCAGCGATGACCGCTATTTCACGATACCCGCGATCCCCAGGGGGTATATATTTTACAATATATTACCATATCATACTATACCATAATAAAATCATCTGCTCGAAATATTTGTGTGCGTTGTGCAAGTTAATTCTGAGGTCCGGATGTTTGGTAGGCAATAAAATCTGTAGAATATATATTACACATATTATACCGAAACACGCATACATCTATGACTTGTAGTCTATTGACTCTATAGTCTATGCCCTTCAAAAAAGTTAAATTACAAGCACCAAAATTGTTTTTAAATTTAAACTAACCGTTAATAAGTATTCTTTATTCGCATTAGAAACAAATGTCATAGCTAAAACACAACATCTCTTGTAACCGTATTTTATGTAAAATAAAGGTTATGGTTTTTTTTTTTTTTTGGTTGTTTACCCGATTTTATTAATTTAAATACAATTTTAAAACGATTAGGTACGACCAAAAATTATTCACACGGTACGACGATGAGAAATTATTCTTATACCTATAGATACCCGATACCCTCTTTATTGCGTGTACATTAAAAGTCCATTAAAACCGAAACCTATAATACATTTTTCATAACTATTTTAGAACTACAAGGCTCGTGTAATTATAACTTGATAAAAATATTCTTAAACATCCAAAATCAAATTTCATATTTCTCAGTTTACGTATTAGCTATAAATTACCTTTTTCAGTTTATGCAGTTGCAGTATGAAATGCTTTCAATATTCTGAGGTTACACTTACAACTGTTATGTTTTAAGATTGTAATTATTATGAAGGTTGCTGAAAAAGTCTAAAACGTTATGTATATCATATACGGCATCAGCATACCAATATACCTTACCCGAGGTATCCCACAGTTAAGCCTTTACAATATAAAAAATTATCGATCCCTTCCCCCGACAAGCAAAATCCCGGGTATGCCGCTGCAGGGCCGTACCCATAATTTTGTACAAACACAATCGGTATATACTGTACGGTCGTAGTCGTAATGCACATTCGGATGCATTGTAATACGATTGTATATTATAAATTATTATGTACCTTCCTATTGAGAGAGGTAAACCGACACTCGAAATATCAGTGCGGCGACGGGCGCCCGGCTGCGGAACGGGACGTCGCGCAGCAGGTGTGCGTATCTTATACACAGTACTGTAGTACACGTTTAGTACGTATTATTATTATCATCATCATCGCTGTCCTGTGTATTATTATTATTACTATTATACACGTTGTATAGTGCCGCGATGAGGCAACCCGACACCCAGGCGTCGACGGCGGCCGCCGCGGCATCACCGCGACGACGTCGCGTCGTCGTCGTCTCCGGCCGGTGGTGACGAGTGTAACATTATTATACTCGGAATTCGTGCGCGATGCACTCGAAAACATAACGGGTCTCACGATTTTTTTTCCCTCTCCCCCCTCATCCCTGCGTTACTTTTTTCACCCCACAACGTGTGCACACCGCCTCCGTCATCTGTGACCACCACCCGCCCGGGCTTGCAGTTTTTACCTGCATGTTTTTGTGCTGTCGTGTGTACAGGTGAAACTCGCGCAAAGGTTTATTTTTTCTTCCGAAGAGGAGTACCGTTGTTCGGTGCGGTACACATATTATACGCACGCGTATACTAAGCTATACCTATGTAGACCGTTTCGCACCCCGCCCTCCTACCAAGGCCCAACTGCTGCTGCTGCTGCTGCTGCTGCACACCACCGCAAACCAACCCCCGTCGCGAACCAACCCTAGCATCGCACAGGTGTTTTTCCGACGAGATCCGTTCGCAACACGTCTCGCGGCCGTCGTCTTCTTCGCGTACATAACATTATATTGGTAGGTATATTGTATTACGTGTATTACTATTATTATCATTGGTCGTTGTTCGAATAGAAAACGCACGAAGTCGAGCAATCGTTTTCGCACGTTTGTCGTGTTACATTTTTTTTTTTTGTAAATTCGTCTCGTCGTCGGCATCGATTTTCGTTCTCCGAAACGAGTAGGTGTGCGCAAGCGAGCGAGTACTTCGGGCCGATATCGTTTACGTGCATCGTATAGACGGCGTGTGTATCGGAAGGTTTTTAAAACATCTTCGTCGTTTGGCGGTAGTGGAGCGATGATAAAAAGAAACCCGACGACGGTAGTGATATTATTGTTGTTATATATATACTATTTCTCAGGTATTACTTCCGCGCGGAAGTCGTTCAGTTCGGATTCGAAGTAGGTAGGTATTGGGAAATAACACGCGTTTTCCCGTCGCGTTGTGTGTGTGTGTTCAATTTATATAAAAATGTTGCGAATTCAATTTATATAATAATAATATATATAAATGGCTAACTATAGATCCGGTAAGAGGGCAAAAAATCAAAAAAAATTGAGTGCTGTCGTTTTCCGAGAATAAAACGCAATTATCTTCGAAAAAAACAAAATTCACTCGTCGCAGAATTTCTTCGAAAACCAAGTTATATATAACATGCACTGTGCGTTAAATAATAATATACTCGGCCGGTTCGTTATCGCGACGTCAAGTTATGACGCGAGAAGGATCAATCACGACTTTGTGGAATTATATTTGGTCACAACACACACGGTTTATCGCGATACGTCTTCAATTATAGAGTCGAACAGTGGAAGGCGGGTAGTATTTGCCGTCGTTGCTTTCTCGTACGACGGGGGGG